ATGTAAGGCATGAAACCCTAAGGATGCAAGAAGGAAATTTTGAAAAAACTCTTCTAGATATCAGCCTAGGCAAACAATTTATGAAGAAGACTCCAATGCCAAATGTTAGCAACAAGAAAAATAGATGGGACTTTATTAAATTAAAAAGCTTCTGCATAACTAAGGAAATAATCAACAGAACAAATAGACAACATACAGAATGGGAGAAAATATTCACAAGCTTTACATCTGATAAAGTGCTAACATTCAGAATCTACAAAGAACTCAAACAAATCAGCAAGGAAAAAACAAGTATCATCCAGGCCTGACCCTGTTAGCTTCTGAGATCAGATGAAATCAGGCGTGTTCAGGGTGGTATGGCTAGAGAAGGACCAAATGGATTCTCATAGTTACCTTTTATTAAAAACAAAAAGACTGCTTAAAAGTATTGTGATTTGTGCCTTGACTAACAATTTTTAATTGTTCCTACATTTGTCAAGAAAATCACATATTTTGTTATAAATTAATTTCAAAACGAAACCTTTTTTCTATTCTAGTCCAGAGCTTCCAGTACCATGTTCTTGGTTAGAGGAGAGGCTCATTTCAGAATGATGATTAAAGATGCCCAGAGAATCGACTGTACTCTATTGGGCTCTCACTCTGAAGATTCTGCTTTTTGTGTGTGTAGGAGCCAATTCTCTCCATCTACAAGAATCCTCTGTGGTCTGCTCCATTGGGAGTATCCTTCCTCACTGTTACTTGATAGGCCACCATGGAGAAGCATATTGTATCACAGGGAACTATCCATGGGATATGGCAGTGAAAGACATGTCTTCTGATGGTTTGACAGTGGATAAGCATCCTAATGGGAGCCAGGGAGGATTTGTGGAAAGGAGGTGGGTATTTGTAGAGTCCTATGTGGTCAGAGAATTAAGTCCAAGATTCTTTTAATTAACATTCCAAAGAAAGAATTAGATACATCACATATATGTATGTGCATAATTTATAGTAAAATAATCCCTTTCTAATTATAATTGTCCACAGTGATTGCTGACTGAATTTCTTGTACCTCTTTGGCTGGTTGCTAATACCAAAATAATAAAACTCTAATCTCTGGTAGAAAATGCTGCTGTCTTTGCAAAGACTAAATATGAAAGAAGGAAGCTCATGGACACCTGCTTAGAGCAAGATTTGCCATGAAACTCTTGTCCATTACCCAGTAGACTACCAGGAGTTTTTTCAGCTTCAGGACAACACCTAAGCTTTTCTCTCTGTCAAACAAAGT